TGTCTTGGCGGTGCTTCCTCTCCTCCTCTGTAACGCTGGTCCCTAATGCTGAATCCTTGCATCAAGGATCCGAGTCGGTGTTTTTCATTTTTCGGGGTTCAAAAGGTCAGCACCCAGGTGTGGCCTCAAAATGCACACATTTGAACTGGAAAGTGAAATGTTTCTGTCCAGGGCTCCAGATTGTGTGTGATCAGTGGCATTTTGCAACCAATTTTATTTAAGGTGCAACTGAATTTTTTCACAGGTTACACTTGGTGTGACTGCAAAATAAACCAGCTATGCACAAACAACTGCTCTCACTTTAGAAATGGCAGACAGATGTAACAATCTCCACAATACTGTCATTGCAACATTTATCTGCAGGTCTGTCACGCGCTCTTTCACTAAGCAGAGACTTCCAATCTATCAAATGTGTTGATTCACACACGTCACCTCTGCACCCCTTTTTTTTTGCACTTAGTTTGGTTTTATCTTTGGTGCATTTGAAGTGTAATCACCACAGACAGCTGCTTAAATCAGGTTAGCCTATTACTCTTGTGATAGATAAGCCTCATTGTGTCACTGAGTTTTCTGGTTTAACTGACTATACATGAAAGTGACTATACATAAAAAGAGGTGGAAACAGGGTCGTTGCTAGATGTAAAGCTCTACTGGGGCACAGGCCCCCCATTACTCAAATCACACAATTATTTTTCTTGAATGTCTGCTGCATGAATGAAATGTCCTATACATTGTGCTATATGAATTTCCCTTGCTTTGCTCACTATTGCATTGCCATACGGCTGCTACTGAAACAAGTACTGGTAAAGGTAAAAATAGAGATATTATTCTTTATGAAAATATTTCTTTAAACATAGATTAAGAACATTCTCAACATGGTGTAAAAGTCTGGCCCTATATTACACATTTCTTTGGGTTCTTCTGCATTTCACAATAATATAATTTGATTGTCAAGCAGTCCCAGTTTTATTTGTCAAATATAAACTTTCACAACAAGTTAATCTATCAACAAATCAGTTTAGAAAAACACAATCTAATTATTTTTTGTAACTCATAAGGCCACATAACATATCAATGTTCTGATTACTTTGAAATTGTATTGTGCAGTGGCTGGTGGTCACACACCTGTCTCCGTAGACACAGGCAGCTTTCTCCACGCTTGCCCTTCCTGCCTCGGGTTCACCTGTTTGGTAAATGTGCATAAAACAAACATCATTTGAACTGTGTGACAAAAGCATCAAATATTATGCTATAGGCTGTTCATTAAATGCAGAATGAATAGTCCACCCTTAACATAATCCACTATGTGTGATGTTTTATGCAGTATACTGATAACTAGTGTTTTAAGATTAGTCCAGCTGATCATATGCACTGATGTACAGAGCTAATTTACTTCACATTCAACGTCCATGCCTGGTTACGTAGTAGCTAACTAAACTAACCTTGCGTTGTTTACCAACTACAGCCAAGCCTTACCACTCTCACCCTCATCTCTCTGAACTTCTTCCCTGTCTCGGCCTCCTCTAAATAATTTTCTTATGTCCATCTATAGGAGTCAGTAATGTCCGAGTCAAAATAAGATCATCAGTATTATTCAAAAACTTAGTTTTGTTCCTATTACATACCTCAATCCATTGCTTTCTTTTGTTTCATGGATTGCTGTGTGGAAGCTGTAGTGCACCACCCATAACATGCATGGTGTGTGCACTGTGGTGTATACACCCAGACTGCTGCGGCTCAGCTTGCATTTTGCTCTGACATTCTGGATTAGAACAACAAATCATTTCTTTTCCTGTTATTATCAATCTAAATTAATCCACTGCCAAATATGGGAGCCTGTTAAAACTTGATCCTGTGATTTTACTGGGGCACAGCAGATCAATACTGGACCAGGTGCCTCCGTAAAAGGGGTTTAATGATGCCTGTGGGTGGAAACTTGTTCCAGAAGTGATTTTCCCTTTTAGTGAGTTTCATGGGTCCCCCTCTCTCTGAATTTTGTTATAAATATAGGCTATGCACATTGGGTTGTAAGGTAATTTAAAATAATTGGCAAAAAATACAGTGTTCTTCATTATGTTGCAAAATAGAGGTGATGCCACCAAATCTGGCATTGGTGTGACCACTGAAATTCAGTTCTGACAGCCAAATACATACAAAAAGTCATTTTCGGCTTTTCCTGTTTAGGGGTCGCTACAGCGAATCTGACGACTCGCATGTTGACATTTGGCACGTGTTTTACGCTGGATGCCCTTGCTGACGCAACCCTGATTCGAACCCGGGCCACAGCGGCGAGAGCGCTGCGCCTTAACCACTAGCCTACCAGGGACGGCTCTGACAGCCAAATACATACAGATGCTGTGAATCAATTGGTACAGTAAAAGGTTGTACTTGAATAAAGGGACAGAGCACACTGCAGAAATGATTATACTCATGCTCATCCTTCTGCAGAATAACACACTTCATCCAAGCAATCATATTAGTTTTAATATTTAATTTACCAGTCCATTTATTTGATAGACTGAACTCCTTAAAACCGTTTTACTGAATTAACTTAGCATTTTATGGGAATTTTACATTATTGTTGATGTCTGTAAATAGAATAGGACTTTATAGAAGAGTGCTAGGCTTTGCCCCTCTGTGTTATGTTGGCTTTGAATTTGTGGAAGTGTATGGAAGTAGGAAGTGAGCGTTTGAGATGATTGCTTTTGTAATCTTTCTGCCACTCACTTGCAAGCACTGCTGAATCCAGAGACAGAAACTGAGACACTCACTCACAGATCTTTAGAGCTGTGGCTAACAATTACAGAAAGAACATCCTCTGAGCAAAACTGGAAATTGCAACCAAAACTCTTGGTGGATCTAATGACAAAACCATTTGCTTTTGATGCAACATGCATCTTAGGTGAAACATTAGGCTGGAATTGTGATTTTCAGTTTGCTGTTGCATATGACAACAAAAGCAAACACAGAGAAGCTGGATAACACTAATTACTTTGGCATTTTTGTTTATGTATGTAATGTATTGCATGTATAAGAAATAAATCTAAACAACTGCTTCCAGTCATTACAGTTGATTTGTGAATACCGATTCAAAGCTTACATGAACATTTTAAGGTTTTGCAGCTACATTGCCACATTGTTTAATGTTAAAATGTTTTAATAATGAAATTATTTCCATGGATTATAAAAAATAAGTTAATGGTATTTGCTAATTAAATGCAATACGTAGCTGTTTTGAAGATCCACATGAATCAACTAAACAGGTAGTAGTGTCAGGTTTTACTATATTTACATTAAGATATTTTAGTTGTGTTGGTTGTGTGTGTGGCCAGTAAGGCCTTTTTATTCTTTTATTTATCTCTGTGCAGCTTGTGGTAGTAGATGGACTTTTAGACTTCTTTTCTTAGACTGCCAAACAAATGTCAAAAAGTTTTACTGCTAAAAGTAAAATGGTGGTGTTCAAAAGTTGGCAGGTGCCACTGCTTCTGTAAGGATTCGCAGATTACTTATCAGGGTTTCTGTATTTCATCGTAATGTTTTCCAGTCATTTAAAAATAAGTGAGTTTTAGTCATGGAAAAATTCCTGTTCTCAGATGGACCAAACCTTGCCTCATCCAAAGGAATGAAGGATTACATCACCCCTGGAGCACAGTGGAGTAACTCCCTGGCTCCCCTCACACACTGGTTCCCTCCCTCCATTTATTTTCTGCCCCTCCCTCTCCAGCTCCTCTCAGTCTTCCCCCACCTCTATCCTTGTGTACTATGTCACTCTTAATGTAGACTGTCTGCTGGGCTTTGGGGCAGCCTGGCCTAGTTCATTCTGTTGTGTGTGTTCATGTCACCCATTCGCATTAGCTGGCATGGATCTGAAGGTCTTTTCTTCCCCCCCAGAAAAAGTGTTGGAAGGGAGCCTGTGCAAAACAGGACATTGCCTCCTCCGGCCTCAACTCGGTAGATGTGACTCACACAACCTCAGTGGCTGAAATCTTTTTTAAGTAAAGTGAAAATGAGTGTAGTCAACTTCAGGGCTGGATATGGTTCAATTAGATTTGGATTCATGATAATTAATTTCCAAAGTGCCTCTCAGAATCTTTCACATTCAACAAACTAGCAACACTTTGTTTCCTTGAGTATTAGGCGTTGGGATCAAATGAATGTGAACCTTGTTTGGAAGGCTTCTGTGGTCCTCCATCTGCCTGATCAGAGTTGCAGTTGTCTTCTTGAGAGGGCAAGCTGTACATGACCACAAAGTAGACTGTGGCATATCTTTAAACAGCAGGGTGTATTTTCTAGTTTCACCTTGTACGTAGGATTCTCAGACTAGATCCTTAGGGTTAAGAATGCCCACAGGGGTCCCGTTCACACAGTTGCATTTACCAAGCAGGAACTGAAAGTGGCCTGTTGGAGTAGCTAACCAGAGCTGTAACCCTGACATGTTGGTATTTATAGCCCTGGTTTAAGATGGTAGGAATAGGCTCCTCCTGCATAAGCATACTGTAAGTTTATGCTTATGCTATTGACTCACACAACAGTACAGCTCCATGACCTCCAGGTTATGTATAGAGCTGTACAGCTACCATCGGCAGCCTGGAGAGCTGGGCATTTAGAGAAAATAGAAGGATGGCAGTCCAGTGAGCCTGACATCACTGTGGTGTCTTCTGTTTTTATTAACTGTACGTGTTGTTCACCAGTCCTTCTCTTCATCTGCATCCTCCTTTACTACCACCTTGGATATTGTGCAGCAGCATGCTGTTTTGCTGGAATCCTAGATTATGTATCCAGTGATGTTCTGGTCATCACTGTGGTCCTGTCAGGTCAGTCAAGGTCACTGATCATGGGCTGGCAACTTACTGCGATGCTAACATTTGAGGTCATGCAGTACACGTAATAGTCGTACACTGTGAGTTTGACAAACCATTTTTTGACTACTGTTGAAATAAATGGTGGGTTATTGTTTTAAAATACTTGTGCTTTGTTTCTTCCTCTGTCTCATTCTACAGGGGTGATCAGCCAGTGGCAGGGCGAGTCAAAGGAGCGTGTCATCTCACTTGTCCTTACCCATCTTCCACTGCTCAAACCTGGCAATGTTGAAGCCAAAGGCGAATATATGCGCCTGCTGCCACGTATTCTGGCCCACACCATTGAGCATGGCCATCATCTGGAGGAATCTCGCCAACTCTTGTCCTATGCCCTCATCCACCCCGCCACCTCCTTGGAAGACCGTGCCGCTCTGGCACTCTGGCTAAACCACCTGGAGGAGAGGGCCGCTGCCCGTGGAGACTCACTGGAAAGGCCGCCTCCTGCTGGGCCGCATCACCACCACCAGTCCACGCCTCCATCCACTCTGACCTCATCAGGATCCTCATCCTCCAGTAACACCTCTTCGTCAGGCAACTTGTATTCCTTGCATCACCACCAGCGCTATGGATCGGACGACCGCCTCAATGGGTGGCAGGGCTCCAGGGATTCGGGGCTGGGTGGAGGTTGGCATCAGCAGCAGCAGGGCTGTGAGAATGGGCATCTGCCTCTCTACCCATCATCCTCTGTGCCGACAACCATCAACACGGTTGGAACTGGTGGAAGCGGTAACACTAGTAAGTGAAATCCCATCTGTCCTTGGTGTCTTGTGCTGTTCACACACTAGTCAGCATGCAGTGGCCACACAGTGCAGACCCTGATAACGTAACAAGTACAGTAATTTAATGTAATAGTACAGAATGTGTTGCCTGTAAATTGCCCTGTTACTTTATAGTTAACATGAAGATGGGATTCCTCTCTCAAAAACTATTTCAAATTCAGCCAAGTTATTATGTATCTAACTTCAAAGAAAATGGATGCATAGGCATAAAATACAGAGTGGCTCATATTAGCAAAGATTAATAGCTGTGCTCCTAGATCTGGCTATAGGTTTAAGCTAATCCATCAGTGTTTATTCTTCTGATTAGCACTGAATGGCAGGTTTATTTTTCTTTCGATTCCCCACGTCACAGACAATTTGTCAAAATGTCACATTATTTCAGATTGTGTCACTTTTTTATGTGGAATATATTGGTTCTTGTCAAAATTACTAAGAAAACCGTAAAAATAGTAAATACATTTTGGACAGACCAACTGTGTTCTGAACATCCTACACAGAAGCCACAGGGGCTGTGTTAGGTGGAAGACAACACACAGAGGGTAGGGCTTTTGAAATTGAAGAGAACTATGGTCTGAGCAGGATATTTCCAGACAGAGTGCAAGGGCTGTGTGTGTGTGTGGTGTGTGTGTGTGTGCGTGTTTTTCTGGGAGTTGAAAGAAACAGCTGAGAGTTTATAAATAAAGAGACATTTAAAGCCCTGCTTGCAGCTCCAAGAAAGATCCTCTTGTATTTTTGACTGCTAGCAGATTCAGTCCCACACAAAAGACCTCAGGATTTCACAACTGATAAACTTGAGTTACCCCAGCCACCAGCACTGGATTGGTGGACACAGTGAGCAGATACCTCTCTGAACTAATGAACATGAGTGGAAGTGTTGAATACACTATAAACAAACTTGAAGTGCTTTCCAAAGTCTGAGGAAGGTGATTAAGATATGGTTAATCAGTGCTTTTAGCATTACATCATTTTTTCTCATTCATTCAGATCACAAAGCCATCAATACAGTCATCATTTTGGTTTCTGTAATATCCAACATTTCCATAATTTCTGTCACCAAGTCTGCAGGCCACCCTCCTTATAGACTGTGTTTGTCTGGTGAAGCTGATGGTGATTACAGACGTATAATTGTCCAGCCACATCAACCTGTGTGTGACTGCTCCTGATGGCCTCCCACTCGTATGCTCAGCCTTAGTCCAAGCCACAGCAGCACATAGCACCCATCTCTTCCCTTGTAAGGCAGGCTTTGTAGGGCACTGTATTTAAGGGAAATGGCTAATATTTAGGGCCTGGAACTTGTAATGTTAGCTGGGCATCTATTTTAAATGGGGCCCATGAAGTCCTACTATACATAGCGTGTAATGGTAAGAGGACCTCATATAGGAGGAGGAGGTGAGAGACTGGAGTATTGGTGGCAGCTTACTCCGTCAGAGCGGCGACACAAAAAGCTCTGGCTATCCACCTTTTCATTCTGCTTACCTCCTTGGGTAGGAAGAATCTGTGGTGCCAGATCTGCTTTTATTGGATTTAAAATACTGGAGTTTCAGTTGTAACAGTAACCATGGTTCAGCCCAAAAAGTCTTCTTCATAAATTCATCCTGAGGAGTACGAGTTGTAATTAAGAGAAATGAGATGAGGCAGGATGACAGAGGAGGAGAGAAGTAAGGTTATAAACAATAAATGATAATTCTACCTCAGTTATGGAGGTGTTGTTTGGGACTTTGCTTCATGGTTGAGTATTCAAACCAACAAGCAAGTGAAGGAGAGAATTTAGATCTAGACCAAGTGAATATGAACAGAGGAGTGCAATTTGAAGGACCCCTGTAATAAATATCATAGTGTAGTATCAACAGAGGGTCTGTTAAAAAGATTTATTACTGTGGATGTCATCAGATGCAGACAAACAAGATATTGGGAGAGCCCTGTGTATTTCCTTTCTCTTCTTCCCAGCTGCCTCACTTTACTCATAAACAAATGCCATGTTATATTTGTGCACCTAAGCAACTTTTAAGAGTTTAGCTGTGGAGATTTATTGTTAGACCTGAGTAAAGTAAAATGCGCTAACTGCAGTTTGCATAGTGAGATATACGTTATGAGCTAAATGACCAGTAGATATAGATGAAAATGAGTGCAATTGTATTGTTAAAGCAAACAGGTTTACTCATATTTATGTGGTAAAATTTACCAAGTCAACTGAAGCAAATGTGTGAATTCCTAATTAGTTGGAAGGTGCACATAGCTCACAATGAGAAAATTTAATTAGCTGGCACAAAAAATGTACCGGTATGTAAAAAAGCACATGTATGGTACAGTAGGTAACGGATCGCCCAGGGTCTGGATGTGATTTATTTAACATTTAACTGCTATGGGTCACCAGATATACTTTACAGTATGTGAGGGGCAGGCAGATCTAATCGTTACCATCAGCCAATCAAACATTACAGTTACTAATATCAAGGTCATATTTGATATGATACAGCTATACACTATGGTGTTAGGACAAATGTGTCTTATTTGGGATTGTTCAGATTAGCCTCAATCTTTACATTAGTGCTCCTGTGATCAAGTGAATATTGTGTTGAGAAAAAGCTAAATTACTTCAGCAGCTTTTCCAGTAAGATTTCTCTAGTGTTAGTCTTGCTGTTGTCTGTACAGTCCTGACAAGTGGAGGTGGCAGCCAGCAGCACAGCCCCTTGAAGCGCTCCGTGTCCCTCACGCCTCCCATGAGTGGGCCTAGCAACCAGCCTTTGGGCCACATCTGGCTGTCCCAAGAGGACCTACGAACCGCTAGAGGTCCAGCCCCAGACCACGCACCTCTCTCACCCCAGAGCAGCATTGCTTCCTCAGGCAGTGGAGGCAGTGAGCATTTGGAGGAAGCTGGTTTAGGGGGAGGTTCAGGTCTGCATCGCAGTTCCTTCCATGAGGAGGGCAGTGGCATGAGGGGTGAGTAAGAGAGTGTGTAGTCAGAAGTACACTTCAGTATTATCAGCATTATTGTGTGGCAGAGACAAAAATTATTTTTGAGGTAGTGTGATTAACTCGTTGTGTGTGTGTGTGTGTGAAGCATACCTTTACCAGAGTCTGTTCCAGTGTGAAATCCTAAATATCAAACATTATAGGGTTAAAGTTACAGTAGAACTGATGCAGCCTACTGAAGGTTAGGGTTCTATTTTGATCGGGAAGTTACCAACTTTGTCATATTAAGATTGAAATTAATAATACAAAAAATGTTTATGAAATAATACTGTATGTATGACTGCATTGATCCAATACTATTTCAACTTTAATTCTCATAAATATATGAGAATTAATATATATGAATATATGGAATTAAAATATATCTTAAAATGTAACAAAGCAGCATTTTGTTATTCATGTCAAGAATAAAACCCCTCTGAAAGGAGGCAGTGACTCACAGGACTGATAAATAGACAGAATGCTGAGTGGAGGGGGTTATTTTGTAGCAGCCTGGTTTCATTTGCATATGATTTAATCAAGGTAAATGGTTGTGTGTAATGGCACTGCACCCTGAGGCACCACTTCTCACATCTGAGTGGGTAGATTTATCAACACGTATGACCTTTTCTCTTCAGCTGACCGCAGAAGCTTAAAACTGCAAGAATCAGTAATAGTCGTATATAGATCATCGACAATGCACTTACTAAATATTCATTTTGGATGCCAATTTAAATGCATCTACTGCTTGGAGAGTATTTAATTAAATTGTTTATTTACATTTTAAGCATCATTTCATCATCACTGTGCATTTACTCCTAGTACTCCTAGTATTTAGTTTGCTCTTGTTGAGCCGATTACCAGACTGGCCATTGAGTGATGTAGTTTTGAGATAATTAAGACACCAAAATATCAACAGCGAGCTTTGCACTGATCATTTCCTGATTCTTCATAACCTTCTCACCTATTTGCAATTCTGCTCCCACCTATATAGCATGCACTCTGCTTTTAGCACCAAAATACCACAGTAGTACCACAGTAGTATTTTAATGTCGGTAAAGCATTCCCAGTTTTGGAGAAGATGGTGACTTTTATCTGAAAATGAATAAGTTAATTTCCACGTCACCAAGGAAGGTGGGGAATTCAATACACTTTTATTTGTATAGTGCCAAATCACAACAAAAAAATCATCTCAAGGCACTTTACATAGTTGAGAAGGGGAAAGATATTCGGTATGATATTCACAGTCATACAAGTCCTTGTTTCCTCTGAGTTTCTCCAAGTGTGTTAAAGTGAGTCCCCATAAACAAGCAAAGAAATAACCATAAATATAGTGAAGGAGAAGCATAAATTAATGGCGTTTATTTGTTGTCTTTAGTTGCACTAAAGGGACTGAATGTTTGTACTGTAGCTCTAAACTTGTAAGTTAAGAAACTAGTAAACCACCAGGCTCACAACTGCAAATTTACACACAGATGACAATGTGTCAACAACTAGCTGAAACTCTCAGCAGTGTGAATGTTGAGTACGAACGAGTGGAGCATTAGTAAACACTTTGCAAGGAAACCATGTATAAATAAACGTAACCCGTAAGAATTTTATTAGTTCATCTGTTTGGCAACATTTTGAAATGCTTATATTATAGGTTGGTTTATTTTCATAGTCATGCACACATACACATGCATGACTACAGGTTGAAATAAGTTGTTTATTGTGGGTAGTCAAATGTTGATCACTGTGTTTGTGTGTTTTGTTTTTTTCTGCCACACAGATGTCCCTGCATGGCTGAAGAGTCTCCGACTCCATAAGTACGCTGCTCTCTTCTCCACAATGACCTATGATGAGATGATGTCACTGACTGAAGAGCAGCTAGAGGCACAGGTTTGTATACAATAGACAGTGTGTTTCAATTTACTTGGACAATGTTATTTTACACTTTCTATTCTATCCACTGTGTAAATTGTTAAAAGTGACTAAACTGATTCTGTCAACATTATCAACTATATAAGTGTTATACCTAAGCACCAATTCCATACCTGACATTTGTGTGCAAGGTAATACTTGCATCTAAGGTCCACAGTTGAGCATGTAGTTCTGGTACATGAGGGACAGAAGTCTGCTCTGAAACGGAGCATGCAGCTAAACAGCTCACCCAGAAGCTGTATGCTTTTTTCCGAGTGCTGCTGACTTCTTTCTCTGTCCGACTCTAATATATGGCACAGTTACACCGAGGCACGCTGAACCTTAACACAAGGAGAAAGAGCTACCGACAAAAACATTCATTCATTCATTCATTCATTCATTTTCTACCGCTTAGTCCCTGAACGGGGTCACGGGTGGGGCCGGAGCCAATCCCGGCCGGCAATCGGGCGAAGGCGGGGTACACCCTGAACAGGTCGCCAATCCATCGCAGGGCTAACGCATAGACGAACAACCACACGCACGCACTCACTCACTCCTATGGGCAATTTAGAGACACCAATCAACCTAAGCTGCATGTCTTTGGTCAGTGGGAGGAAGCCGGAGTACCCGGAGAGAACCCACGCAAGCACGGGAGAACATGCAAACTCCACACAGAAAGGTCCCAGGTGGGGCCCGAACCTGGAACCTTCTCACTGTGAGGCAACGGCGCTAACCACTGTGCCACCGTGCTGCCCCCCGTGTGTGACAGTGGATTCAATATAGTGCTATTGGTTTGATCTGTAAATTTCTGGATCTGGAGTGTCAGTTCTTCATGAAACGCATCAGAAGCTGAACCTATGTTGCAAATTCCTTCTTAGAATTTATCATGAGAACTTAAAGCTGCATTAACAAATTTCTCCCTCTAATTGTTGACCATTAAGGGCAAAGTGAGAGTCAAAACAAACTCAAGCAATATCCCCTCCTCTGTGCCCCTCCTGCCCTGTCTCTGAAACTAGACCTCCTACATGACCCCACATATGTGGGGTCATGACAGCCAGAGACAGTTATATCAGTCGGGTAGTACAGCAGTAATAACCAGCTCCAGAACTAATGTGTACGGAATATAGAGCAGACTGAATAAAGTAGAAACCACACACTCTTCAGTCAATTTGCACAGCTGTCCTATAAAGTGCACCAGGTTCTCACAGTCAAGACACTATCGTGGCAGCTAATACTGTTAGCTGTCAGCTATATTATATTCTAAGCTTCACACTATAATAACTTGGTTTCCACAAGGTAGCCATTTTACACATCTTTTTTTTTATTATCCTTTCCTGTTTGCCAATGGCTGTTTGAAACAAAACTCTTTCCTTCAACAGAAAGTCACTAAAGGAGCAAGACACAAGATTGCTATCAGCATTCAGAAGCTCAAAGAGAGGCAGAACCTACTGCGTAGCCTGGAAAAGGTCAGGGTGACTGTACACAATATGTATCTCCCACATCTGCATCTACCTGAAATTCTTTGAATGAACTGAAGCCTTTTTTGTTATTGGTGATTGGGCTTGTAACCTTAGTGGACACCACAGGACACCTCTCTTCCTGTGTGTGAGAAGAGTGGCCCTTCTTAGTTGGTGTTATGTATCTGAGATGGCAACAAAGGAAACATCTAATCCAGGAAGGTGTGTTTTGGGCTCAGAATTTAAACCCATCCACCTCCCCCACCCATCACCTCTTCATTCAGCTTTCAAACCAAGACAAGGACACAGCACAGGAGAAATGTCTTTGGCCAACTAAATTCAGGCTTAATGTTTACACCATTTTAAAGTTTGCTGCCGCTGCACTTGTAGGGCTAGGGACACAAGACACCTGTTGCTTGATATTTTGGGTTTACAGAGACTCACATAAACCATTGCTCTGTGAAGGGTGGGAGGGAGGCTGAGCTAAGGACAAGGACACAAACAGTGAAGAAAAACTAGACATGTATATTTGTGGTGTTACTTTATTCTTTGCTCTATACTGTAGCAGTGTGGTCAGGGATCCCTTCTCTGTTTGTCTGTTAGTTGATCTCTCTCTTAATATTCAGCATTGATGTCAGAAGTAAAGGTTTTTTCATTTATGATTATATTAAAATTACATTGACTAAGATAATGTTTTGCACAAGTAGCCTAAAAAACCTTTTGTCATATCCCAGATCTGTCACTGTCTGATTCTCGCAAGCAAGTCCACTTCATTCATTTAAATCTTTCTGAGCTGCTCCCCCTTTACTCTCTGCATATTCCCTCTCTACTCCTCCCTCCTATTATTTGCCACCACCAGGATGTGTTGGAGGGCAGTAATCTGCGCGGCCCTCTGCAGGAGCTCCACCAGATGATCATGACGCCTATCAAGGCTTTTGGTGGCGGTGAGGAGAGCTCCCTGCAGCGCCCTCTTCTGAGTCCTGAAGGCAAGAGCGCTGCACCTGGCTCCCACCTGACTGGGGGAGGCGGGGGAGAGGCTGAGTCAGGCACAAGTATCATTGCTGAGGGAGATCTACCGGGCCAGTTCACTCGTGTCATGGGCAAAGGTGAGATGCATGCACCAGTGCTCATCGTTTTCATGGACAGAGAGGTATTTGTTTTTAATGTCTCCCTTTCCATCTCTGCCCTATCCTTAGTTTGTACACAGTTACTGGTGTCAAGGTCAGATGAGGACAACATCAGTTCCTACCTACAACTCATTGACAAGTGCCTTATCCATGAGGTACACAGTCCCTCTGGAATACTCACACACACACTTTTAATGTCAAAATGAAAAAACAAACAAAAAACATTAAAAAAAAAAAAAATGCATTGCCACAAACACATACTGGCTGGCTCATGATTATACAGCCCTGAGCTTGATCTGTATGAACAGCACTAGGGCAGGATATTGGCGACCCTTGGAATGTTGGCAGTGTGGGATCTCGGTGTAGAAGTGACTCCTTTATACCAGGGGTGCAATGAAAATGGCCCGCCATTCTAGCTTTGCGTCTCACACACACAACATGCGATGATATAAAGGTGCACCAATTCTGCCTTGAAGAGACAGTGTGGAAGGGGCCACTGACTGACATATAACACTAAAGAGTAACATTTTGACCCCCGCCCCGTGCTCAACAGCTGACAAAAGGGGAGTTGCTAAGTACTGACTTAGCAGGACACAATTACTTTTTAATTTTTCTTTTTATTTTGTTTATTTTAAAAAAGCATTAGTGCATTAGTATTTGAAAGTTCATTTTTACTGTCTGCTTGTTTCAGGAGCTGTATTTACTTTTTCCTTCAAAAATAAAACAGTAAACTTTTGTATACAATTGTAAAGGTTACGTTCCCAGGAAAACCCTCCTTGACGTAGCAGGGTATCGACCGCAGAGAAGGTACACACAGATACACGATAGCCCCCGTCACTTTGAGACTACAGATTTCCAACTGTAAATGACTGAATGAATGAGAAATGTCAAAAATTCATATGGACAGATGGCTTTTTCCATCTGGGGGATCAGCCCATAAAACAAAAAGTGCCAGCCATCTGCAATCTGCCCTTGTGTTCATCTCATTTTTTGTCTCATGCTTCTGTAGCCGTTTCGGCCAGTCCAGCTCCCTACCCACCACTGGTTGTGTTGGGAGTGGTGTGTCGGTCAGGAGAAGTCTTCGCCAGTTCCAGATGCCCTCCAGGAGCTTGCCGGGTGCCAGGTTGAACTTGCTGGGCAGTGGAGGACTGCTGGGACCCACACCTCGCAGCTCCAGCAGCACACCCACTGGTCCCAAGCAGGGGAGACAGGTGAGTCACACCAGCAGCTGGTTTAAACCAGCAAGGAGAGATGAGAGTGAACTAGCTGGGTGCCAGCAAAGTATTCCCCATAATTCTTGGGTATCATGAGTTTTACTTACTATACATGTTGTATTTTAGTATATGTGATGCTACAATTGCATGAGACTATGCAGTAGTATTGTTAGAATAGGTGTTTTTTTTTTTACAGTTCAGGGCTACAACTAATGATTTCTCTTCATTACTGATTAGTGTGTTATCACTTATAATTTATCATCAAATGAAAAAACTAGAGCTAAATGTATGTTGTATCTGTGGTGACTGGCTTGCTGACTGGCAGTGGTGTTCGTGGATGTACAGAGGAACACTTTGAAATGTGTAATAACACAATCCAGAATGTTTATAAAAACTTGGGCAGCAGAGTTCCTTTTTCAGCATGTATTCTGCCTGAAATAGGCTTTTTGTTTCATGACTAAAAAATGCGGGTGAGGAAGAGGAGCAGCAGTAGTGTTTGGCGAATGAAGTGAGGTGGCTGGAACTCGTATGCAGGTCACCCCACATACCAGAGGCCCTGCGTCAGTGCTGAACACTGAAACAGGAGGAGCTGTGGAGCAGTTTCAGGCCCATCATGGCACACTCTGGTCTGGGCTGACCCAGTTCATAGGGAACCTCTATCTCTCTCTCCCTCTCTCTTTCTTTTTCTCTCTCTCTCTGATCCCTTACAATGGGAGGAAATACCTCAGTTCCTCCTCGTCACATTGGACCTGCTTGTGTGGGACTTAAGTGTGGGTGTGTAGAGAGAGAGAGAGAGAGAGAGAGAGAGAGAGGGAGGAGGAGGGTGGAAAGGAAATATGTGAATCATAGTTTGGGAGAGGTAGCTGTGGTGTTGGAGGAGGAGCGGCAATGAGTTTTTATGAGTATGTATGAGAGAGAGTGAAAGAGCCAGTTAGAGGCAGTGAGAACAGTGCACAGGCATTTCCTGTTTTTCCCTGGCCTGCGGCTCTCCAGTGCCGTGGGTGGGGTGGGGGTATAATAGGCAGGTTATAGTCAGGAATTCATGAGCATCTGACACTGATTAGATTAGACAGCAGTGTTGGGGTGAAGATTTTGAAGACGCTTTGGCCTTTGTCTTACACCAGATTTATTTCATACAAGTTTTTCATCAGTGAAGGTTTTATCAGTATGTGATTAGTGAAAAGCAGTGATGTAGGGCATGAGTGTAAAATCAGGAAGACCTTGTGTATCAGATTGTTAATCATTACATTTCATTGTGCTAGATCTACACATATGTATAATTATTTCTTTTCTAATACAAATTTGTCTACAAATCATACATTAAACAGTTTGAAAAGCTGAATTTTTAAAGTCTTAAAGGATTGGGTGGCACACATAATGTAAGCCCTGACTATGGTTATCTAGGGACAATTTGTAATGGAATAATCTCTGTAAAATTTGGTGAACAGATAGGACTGTGACAGTAGATGAGATGTTGATGATGGTGGTGAGGGGGGGCATTGATTTCAATTTTTCAGTCACAACTATTGCACTAAAGGTCTTTTCACACGGGAGGCAAATTTTTCATTGCATATCAATAATTTTCAAACTAATATTCTGTCAGTGGACACTTGCACATCAGTGATGAAATGTCACTGAGCAAAATGTGGCATTTATTTTATTTGCCACAAGGTTTTTTTGTTTGTTTGTTTTTTCAACTTTTCTGTGGCCAATCACGATGCAGCTTGGTGGAATGTTGTAACATTGTTACCACAGGTGCTCGGTGCACCGGTCAGCTAAAGCTATTTATTAAAGTCATGTTCAGAATGCATTTTACCTCGGACATATGGCCAGGCATTAGTCTGGGTCAATCAGGTCATTGTAATTTTCCCCGGTGCCTCTCCAAGTGCTGTGGCAGCAGCAATAACTCCTCAAATTGTCCCACTGACATCCTGACATAGATCCAAAAATGACCATGGTAGAGTTTCAACCCCTGCACCAAGCAGTGAAACTTTCCAAGTTGCCTTTTTATCAATATAGGATGCACTCCTTGTATTTAGCAGAACCAGCACCTGCAGGTCATCATCGCAAAAAAAAAAAATGCTATTCCATATCATTTATTTGCATCACTCTTCATGTGAAAAGACCTTAATGCTGCAGCAGTGTTTGTATGTTCAAGAAATGAACTTAATGTTATGGTTAATATATTCTCAGGGTTTGTGGTTTGCTAACCCTGGGGGCAGCAACAGTGTGCCCAGCCGGACCCACAGCTCCGTGCAGAGGACCCGCTCCCTCCCGGTTCACACCACACCACAAACTATGGTCGCGTTCCAACAAGCTGGTAAGACACACACACACACACACACACACACACATACACACACACACACAACACTGGTGTGATACAAGAGATTATAGCCTAAACTTGTTTATTGTTTCCACCTTCACCAGTTTTATTTACTTATATATTGTCTTTTATTCTGTATTAAATACTGGAACGTTATAACTTCCGTATACCACAGAAATGGATCATATTGCTGTAATAGACAGTGACATTTTGTTTTCCTTTAAGGCTTTATTTGTTTTTAAAGCAGTAATACAGTATGTCTTGTCTTACTGTCATGTCAGTTCATTGTTTGTGATCATGTGGGGACAAATTTTTGTGTTGCTGTATTTGCATAAAGTTGATTTTAGCCTTAAACATCTAATGGATGACTTTGTGGCTGGCTGAGCAACAGTTACCGTGACAACACACTGATTGTTCGAGTATAATTTTTTTAAATGTATTTTTTATATTTTTTCTAGTTATAGCTTCTCTATTTTTTGTAATTCAGACCTTAAAGTATTGATATGTTTGGGCTGACTTCTGACCCAATATTAAATATTAGTTATATATTACTTTCATTGCAAAAATTTGTGTGATACAATATTTATAGTGCAGACTAATCAGGTCTTAATTGTTTTTAAAAAAATTCTTAAGAAAGAAGCCTTAAACAGTTCTCACTTTGGTAGTTCCATATATTTTTACATTAAACTTATTAATACCTATAATTAAATTATAGCTATTTTATATTGGCCAGTCGATTAATCGACTAATAAGTCAATAATTGATTAATGCGTCTATTTTCTGCTGCTGATTCAGGTCCAGGTTGTGTTTAATCATTAATAATGATATTAATGAGTGATTGCTGTGGGCAATTTATAATGCACTTAAATTCAGCTTTTTGAACGCTGCAGAAAACCTGCTAATAATTTAGTCCTTGTCTCGCTTCAACTCAGACAAACAAACCACTCTGCAGCCGGACTGTTGCTTGAATAAAAGGGTCAGCCAAATACTAGCCTGTCTTAGTGCAGCATTTCTCCTGGAACACCCTGGAAATAGTTGCCTAGTCATTGGCCATTAACAATTAACAATACTGGTCTTTATGCAAGAGTTGATGGCATCTCAACAAAAATAAGCTAAATGTACCTTTAAATGTGAAAAGAGCATTTCTGACTGGAGCTGCTATGTTCAGCCCAAAACCTCCCAGTCTGGATTTTCACTGACAGCTCCCCTCTCAGTGTCCACACAGACTCAGATCGTGGTAACCTTTGGCGCCAGGCAAAATGACCTGTAGTAGCCTGTGCTGACTGGACTTTGTCCCACAGGAACAGTGGACAGTAAAAGGACAAGCTGAAAGCTCTGTCACAAGCATGCGTACCATAAGTGTCTCTGTTTAGAATAAGGAGGAAGGCCAAATTTAGAAGACACAGAGAGGAGGGATGTTAGGTGGAGGGAGTGTAGAGACTGTATGAGGGAGAGGAAGAGATGGAGGCTGAGAGGGAGGCAAGAGTCAGCAAACTCTTACAATGAGGCTCTTTGTGCAGCGTGGATGGGGCTCCCTGGCACGTTCTTCTTTCCATCCTTCTCTCCCTGACTCACTCTTTAACTTTCCCTTCTCTCTCTTCTACCACTCATCTGTTCTTCTTTGACAGCTCTGCAAAGTCATGCATAGCAGTCACTCCCAAGGGTGGTTAGAGCTGGGTCTCAGCCAGAGTAACTGATCTGAACAGCTAGTCATCCTCCACCCCTGCACCCCCTCTGTCTGCATGTAATTACTGTATGGGCAGTCTTGTCTCTCTGCCAGTCAGTGGATAAAGGGACTTACCATGGGAGACACAGTACAGCAAATGTGGGCATATAGAAACAAGTGTGTGTACAGATTTTATTCCAGTGTGCGTTTTTGTTATTTTAAGTGTGTGTGCACTTCGTCTATAAATAGCCCAGTGTGGAGCACTGGGCCTCACTCAGCTTTTCTCACTGGCCACAAGGGATTTTCACTGCCGCTCTGTGTTGAAGGCTCAGCTAAGGACTACACGGCTGGACCGGGTTGCTAGGCTGTACTGTGGCTTAAATACACCCCACCCCTGCCAGCACACACAGACACTCCCCTCCAGCCTCAACCAGCCCCCCAAAATAAAATCTCCACTACCTCCAGAGAGTTGAACATAAAGAAGGGGGGGTGGGGGTTCAAGTCATGTTTAAAGTTTAATTTATGTGATGAGCATATATCAATATTATAAATATGTGTAAACATTATTATCTTAATAATGGCACCAGTTAGGAACTCGGAAGTGAATAATTGTGGAATCAGGATGTATAGTATTTCTGATCATTTAGTCATTCTGCTGGCATAATGATGTGATGCTGCAGCTAAGGCTTGTATTCATTATTGATTATTTGCTTTTTTTTATAAATCAATAAAGAGGTTAATCAATCAAAAATGTTGACCAGAGTGCTTCACACTGTCAAAGTAAAACCACAAATAAGAAAAAAAAAAAAAAAGAGGACAAAAATATACATCACTGCTGATTAAAGCCCTACTTGGTATAAAATGCCAAAGTGAATAAGTAAAAAGTGCCTGGTCAGAAATGGATCAACTCTCTGGCAGTAATGCATTCCACAGTTTGGGAGCAACCACAGCAACAGCTCCGTCACCCCACTGTTTACAGCTTGATCTCGGGACATCCAAAAGAAATTGGTTGGTGGACCTGAGCTCTCTACAGTGTGTACGTGCAACCCAAAGGTCAGCCAAATGAGATGGAGCAGATTGAGGGCATAAACACAAGCAAAGAGAGTTTAAAATCAGTTCTAAAATGTATCGGAAGCCAATTGAGTGTGCGTAAAACGGGTAGTATGATCATATTTACAATTTTATGCTGCACTCCAGATCCTTGAGTGCTTTAAAAGGCTTTGCCTTGGCTAAAAGACAAAGGCAAAAAAAGATTGCTTTTGCAAAAGAGTTGGTTTGTTTGAACTTCAGTTCACTGTCACAGATTTAAATCTGTACCACCTGGAATGAAATGCAAACCAAAACTAATACATTTGGGCTTAGTCTTACTGAGTTGAAGAAAATTTCATGACAACCAGGTCTTAATGTCATTCAGGCAATCAAACAATGGTTGCAGTGAATTAATCATTTACTCTCTGAGATGTCTCAGTACATCAGAGCCCAAGGTTACACCTATCTGCCAAAAACCAAAAGATAGTCAGAATACAATAATATTAAAAAATAAGAAAAGCAAATCTACATTTGGAGCCAGTGAATATCTTTGCTTGAAAAATTAATCTGTCATTTAAAAAGTTGTCAGGTTTTCTGTTTACTCATCAATTAGTCCCCTAATCATTTCTGGTCTAACCAAGTCCATACCCATTACATACATCTGCATCCTCTGTTCTTCCCTTTATCACTGTGGCAAAGTAGGCGTTTCTTGATAGCAAATAGTTTTCCTACAGTGTTGTTGTTTTTCTTGAACAGCACTACACTATTTTTAATTTTCAAATGTATAATGAGCTTATCAGAGGGATGTTAAGGCACCATACCAGGGTGTTAGGTTAAGAAACATTATGCTTTATTATGTTGGCTCATATGCATCATAGATACATATGATTATCAATATCAGGTTTCCTTGTCAGGTCTATTGTCTTCATTACAGAATATTTAAAAGTTTAATAGAGTGTGAGATAATTATTATAGTTGTCATATTTCATTCAGTTCAAAGACCATCAATTACTTTACATGCTGTTTTGACATAGTGGATGTAAGTTTTGTCTCAGATCCAGTTTTAACCCACTGACACACAAACACTCACTCAAAATGACAAAAGACAACATGCTCCTGTTGCAGGAGTACAGTCATTGTTTTGATGTAGCAGAAAGTAGTGTACATGCCATGTGCAAAACAATACATAGTGAAATTTTTGAGTGCCCTATATAGTGAATAAATATATTTACACACTCAGCATTTGGACACCACTGCAAAATGTATAACACGCTGCATAGCGCACAATAACGTGCGTAATGAGTGGTTTTTGGACAATACTTACTGTCCTGGTGGATTTGTTGCTGATTTGAATTCATTTCTTTTGTTCTTTGCCAACTCATCTGATGGCCAGATTTTAAAACAATACCATGATTCTGTTTATGATCATAGACTTCTAAGAGTTTGTGAAGTCATTAAGTCTAAAATCTAATTCAACTTTTTAACACTTAATGAGAATATGGACATCAATAGTGTGTGAAGTCAGCCATGGAGAGGACTAGCTATAGAAAATAATTCTTAATTTGATTAAATTAAGAACTTGCTACGACCATCGTCGGGGCATTTTCCTCATATTGTCTTGTGCTGAATATTTTTAATCACCGATACTGATGCTGCTTCAAATGTGTTATTGTTATTGTACAGATCTTCAGTTACCAGTGACAGAGCCAGACATCAACAATCGCCTTGAGTCTCTGTGTCTGAGTATGACAGAGCACGCCTTGGGAGGTAAGACAGTTTTTAATGGGTCCCAAATATTAAGCCATCTTACGTAAAAGACAAAAGGTTTAGCAAAGACTCCCATTCACAAATATAATTTACAGCAGTCAAAACAAACGGGTACTGTGCCCCAGGGGAATCCAGCATTAATGAACTGATCATTCACCACTGCAGGGGGCTTCACAGACCAGCTGCTTGTAGGTTAAACCCAGGAACATTGCTAATCACAGTGCAGCAGGAGGTAAAATATATCCACAAAACCGGGCGCAGTCGAAAAATTCAATTTTTACAATGGCATCAGTGGATGTCAGACAAGCTCACATGAGCGAGCAACTGCTTGAAGAGAATGCCCATTAAAGGAAATCCTTAAACTGTCATGTAATACTTTATGTTAGAACAAAAGTCTCGTGAGCGACAGTTTGTAAGACTTGTATAAACCAAGTCGCTTTTGCATAGAACATACGTACACCTCATTTTTTGAGCTTTAGGTCACGTCTAAGATGATAATTCACTGTTGTAGTATTGTAGATAAGTCAGAAAACAAGGAAAAGCATGCCATGGGCTCTTTAATGGGAATGACTGAAAGGAAAAGCATGGCATGGGCTCTTTAATGGGAATGACTGGAAAAGGCTACAGAACCCTGAACACACAAGAAAAGCATGTTTAAACCTGTCAGCATCATAATGTGGTAAACATGACCTTAGTCAAGTCAGTCAGTTTGTGATCTGGGTGGTGCAAAATATTTCCATATACATGGATTTTTAGTCACGGTTAAAGTCATTGCCAACTCCCCCCCATCCCAAAAGTGGACTGAGGTTGGGTCAGTGGGCCTCAGCACTTGGCACTGAACGGTGGACAAGTGCTGCTTTGTGTGTGAGGGGGAGAGCAGAGCTGGGCAGCAGAACGAAGGAGTGTGTTTAACTGAAAAAACTCCTACTAAATCAGTTTCACCTTTTTCTAGTCCCTTGCCGTGCTCAGGAGTAGGCAGAGATAGCTGGTTAGGTCCAGGTAAAGGCATGGGGAAACATTTAAATCTTCAGATCATACAGAAAAAAATCTAGAAATTTTTATACTGTAAATCAGGTTGCAGATGTCACACCAAATCAACTTTAACATATGCAGCTACTCCACACATTTACTGCACTGTGGTATCAGATTGGTTTCCATATCAAGTATTAGCAGTTAGCTAGTCTGTTTGCACTTGACTCTGAATCTTGTGCAATATATTGCACATGAACCTGCCATTTTAGTGTAATTGTGGGGGCTTTATTTTTGTGGAATAAAAAGGTCCACCGGTGCCTATCCTGATAACATTTTCCTCTTCAGCCACACCAGAGGCAACAGCTGTCAGTCTGGTGTTTTTCTTTGAAAGCCTCTATCAGTATTATTACAGATGTGTTGTTCTCTCACTATGACGGTGTGGGCCCTGGCCCCTTGCTGTTCACCAGGTCAGAAAAACCTCGGGCCTTTGTTACAAACTGTTCATGGCACAATAACATCACAACTACACTTAAAATCAGACAAATTCAGTCATGTACCACATATAATTTGATCTAAGTGGAAGAAGTGAACAAAATGTGAACCTCTAAAAGCTAGCACAGGACAATCTAAAGCATCTACATGTATGTAGCCCAAATGGAACAAGCAGATTTCACAAAGTTGGTGCTGGACTGCTATGAGATCTAAAATCTTCTGCTGTACCATCTTATTTGGCATCACACGAAAGCTGGAGCCTGTCCCAGCATGCACTGGGCAAAATACAGGGAGGCTTAGCTGTAGGAGCCTGGGGGCTCATGGCTGCCTTCTTAGTAATTTTATCTTCATTGGGACAAGTGATTGAACATCCACACTATATCACTACTTCTAATCCTGTCAGTGGATGCTGAGGATGTTTTCATGGAGTTAAACCCTAATGCCCTTTTTTCCCTCTGCTGCTCCTCTTTAGACGGCCCTGACCGCACATCAACAATATGAAATGAGGTCCTGAGGGAGAGCAGCAGGACATCACAGGTTCACAAGGCTCCTCTCTCACGATAAGTCACCTTGAGGTCTCCAGTCCTCCCGTCCTCCTGTCCCCTCTCCCCATACCCAGTGGTAGAGCTCAACCAAAGGACTGGGCAGGATCCAAGAAACACGAGAGCGCCGATCATCAAACCCACTAACATAGACCGTGCCGATGTGTCAGTTTATCGGTTCGTAAAGACACACTTCCTTTTCTGCCAGCATGCTCACAGTCACCTGCATTTGGATGCAGAGAGAGAAAAAGCAATGAACATGGCCTGGACAGCATGTGAACAGCACCCCTCTGGGCAGGCCAGAAGCTGTACTGCAGTTCAGTCAGCCCCAGCAGAAGGGAGACGCTGGCCTGTGGATCAGGACCCAGCGAAACTAAGGCCCCTTCCCTCACTGACGCCCTCTGGTCCCTGCACATTGACCACAGCTTTGGGCATCTTTCAAACCCAAAACAGTACCTCAGACCCAAAAAGAAGATGAGACAAGTAGGGCTATAAGGATGCAGAAAGAAGTTTGGGATTTCCTCTTGTCAGAGAGGACTGTCCAGCTCTTGCTCAGTATTGGGTGGCAGAAAAATTGTTTATTTGTGTTGTATGAATTTATTGTTTACAAAATGATGCTACTTTCAGAGGGTACCGAAACATCTGAATTTCAGGTATGAATTGTGTAAAGCCTTGGTTGCCTACCAGCTTTACGTCCCATCATGCTAGTTTACAACCAACATGCTTGTTCTTTGTTTTAATAGCTGACATAAAATATGTTGGCTTGAACTTTTACTGAGTGAGAAGACAGAGAAGGAGATGGAGCACACGTGTACAGAAAGATAAGGAGAAGAAGGTGGTGGGAAAAAAGACACAGAAAGTTGAAGAAAGCATTAATCTGAAGTGATACTGGAAAGGGAAGCGGATGTTTAAAGGAGAAGGACATCAGAGGCGGGACCTTTGATCGGCTGAAGGTGACAGAAGAAGGTGATGTTGTATCTAGTCATGTTGTGTCTCTTCAAGTGAATGAGTGTAGGAGGATGTGAATTTGGCTCCAGTCAGTTACATATTGTTTATCCACAGCATGTACTGTATGAACTCTTTGAATTCAGAGCCTTTGTAGGCACAATACATGAAAATGTAGGTTTTTGTACTAAATGGAAGATGATGTATCGTCATTGGGATCTGTCTGCATGTTCAGATACTGGGTTTAGTTATTTTTCTAAAGCAGGGTGATATGCTTAAGCTGCATGTTACTAAATATCTTTCTCAGAGGAAGTAAAGATTGTGAAATATGGAGTGGAGAAGACGGCAGAAGAACAGGAGGTTGGTGTGCATTCCACTCTGACCATGCTGGTAAGAGGATTGCAGCATTGGAGAAATCACACTTAGTCAGTCCATGAAGGGTAGTTCTCCCAGAGATTGTCTCATTAGTGCTTACCTCCACCTGCTGACCAAACACAGTCATGGCAGGACAGACGACACAGGCGCCATGAGGAAGCCCATTGATTAGGAATGCTTCGGAAGTATCCGTGCTAATTTAGTCTTGGCTGCAGGAATTTCTTCAGATGTCGTTCTTGTAACATGGTCTTCTGTCTGTTCTGTTAGTGCAGGCCTACATAGAATTAGTTTTTTTGTTTTTATCTGAATTTCATGGTTATTCTGTGTCTTAATATTTATCCTCAGTTTATTGTGTCTGGAAAAGACTTCATAAGAATAGGACTATACAGCAAGAGGCTGGTTAGGAAACTCCCTCCTGTGTGTCCCGACCGTGGTAGCTGTCAATATGGGTCATTGGTTATTAGTGTTTAGTTTTTCTCATTAGTATGTTGCAATTCTGTAGTGCTTCCTTTGTATTCTGCACTTGATATGATAATGTGATACACTAAAATCCAAACATTTAAGGCTCAAGCTAGAGTTTTGCGCTTTGCAGTCAGATTGAAAGGAGCGGACTGAAGCGATGAAACTGACACTCTTAACTGTAGAGCTACAGTCTCAGTGGACAGATACAAGTGAGGACACGATGGGTATTGATGTTGAATGCAGCAGCAGAGACAAATAACTCCTGATGCCTCTCCCTGATCTCAAATGATTTTTGTTTGTCTGATGGCGGATTTTAGAGATGAAGAAAACTCTTATGTCATTTCAGTCTGGGCTGAGTCGTCAGTTAAAGGAACATACCAGTGTTTATGTACGTTTTAGCCCAGTAACATATTTGTGATTATCTTCAAGTATCAATCCAAGTTTTCATCTCACTTTAATAGTTTAGTATACGAACTCTGTAAAAACTGAAAAATCGCATTCAAAATCTCCGAGTTCAGTGTGAGATCTTGGTGTGTTTGTTTTGTCCGGCCAACAGTCCAAAACATTAAGACAATCAATTTCCTATCATATACAACACAGGAAAAAAACACAGCTTCACATTTACAAAGCTGGAACAAGCACATTTTTTGTCATTATTGCTTGAAAATGACAAAGTATCATTTGATTATTACAGTTGTTTCTTTTAATCAACTAACCACTTAAGTGACTAGTCATTGCAGCTCAGTGCAGGCTTTATTATCTGCACCTGCAAATGAATTACCATAAAACAATAACTGGACAAAAAGTTGATGAATCATCTTAAACAAGCTTCAGGTCTATGCAGTGTCATTCACTATAATATAAACGTCTGGTTCCCTTTAGGTTTGGGAAAACTATATAGAAATACAGATGTCACGACGGTGAACTTGAAAGATGGGTATCGGTGATGCTTTCAGTGTGACTTTTATTGAAGGAGCATAAATTCTGTTTTGGTGCCTTCTACCTTCTACAAACCAGTCTGGGGCCATCATCATCCCACTGCCATCTTGATTATTTGAATGTGGCTTCAGATCCAGTGATGGTGGCTTGAGATCAGTGCACACTCAGACAAACACCCACACCACAGGTAGAGTAGGTGTGTGTGTGTGTGTGTGTGTGTGTTGATAGTTTCACAGCATGGCTGTGCTGTCTTCAGTTTCTTGTCTCGGTGTTTTCTGCTCTTATACTTTGAGTCTGTAAAACCCACACATTTATGAACGAAGATAGATTCCACCAAAGCATGAATGTGACATGAACCCATTTAAATCCTGAATGGGGAAACTGATGTTACACCTTTCTTTTTCTGAAGCTCCTTACTGAAAGGCAGCATCAGGATCTCATTGTATTCAGACTTTTTGAGTGTCACTGCCATATGAATCAGTACTTAAAGTAGATGAAATTATTTATTTATATATATTTTTTTCTTAATTTTTGGAGAGGAGAGAGTTTTACTCATTTAGGTGTTTTATTATTTAAAGTACCATATGTATTAACATGTTATGGCTGGTGACCATACGTACATCTCAAATATTAGCATAGTTATTGTTGATTTTGACTATTGTCTTTAAATTTTGTTGCTGTTGTTGAACTATAATCTTGTTTATATCAGTGTCATGTTGCGGTCATGTGAAGCTTTGGTGTCGGAGTGCAGCCGAAAACAGGAGTTGGTCTGTCACAGATGCGTCGATTCATGTTTAGTTACACAAGTCATGCTGGACAAGCTATAGTATCAGCAAACAAAGCAGTGGTGTGTTGTTCTAGTTTTTGGTAGGCCAGGGAGTAGACTGATCCATCCTGGGCATTGCTGACCTTTAGAAAAGATTAGCATTTGGGATTTGGAGTCTGCTTTTGGTGCTGTGAGAGTATTACCACCTGAGTCTATGGGTCAGTGGGAGAGGCTTGTGGGTTTCTAGGTACAGACAGGTGACAAATTAAAGGAAAACCCTGAACAAATGAATGGTTTCTTTCAGGATGACATTCCCCCATCCACAGGGTAGGAGGGCTCACTGAATGAGTTGATGAATATGAAAATGATGTGACTCGTATGCTGTGGCCTTCGCTGTCACCAGATCTCAACCCAGTTGAACACCTATGGGAGATTTTGGAGCGACATGTCACACAGCGTCTCCATCACCATCATCAAATGAGGGAATATCTTTTGGAAGAACGGTGTTAATCCCTCCAGTAAAGCTCAGAGACTTGTAGCATCAGTGACAGAGCACAGTGAAGCTGTTCTGGAGGCATGTGGTGGCCCAGCACCTGATTGAGACACTTTATGTCCATCTTTCCTTTAATCTGTCACCTGTCTGTGTGGCACTTATACGACAGGCATTAGTCACTAATTTTCTTATTGTGAACAGACCCCATGAAAAGATGAAATTCAACACAGGGATATCAGAAACGGCACTTGATAGTACAGTAGGATGAGTTTATTATTAAAAAGTAGAGAATACTGTATCACCAGACTTTTTTATATTGTTAAAATGATCAAACCTGCAGTCAGTAATGTAATCAAAGTGGCTACTGAAACTGTAGTATTCTTATTTACTTTCATATCACTTTCCTTTTTTAAATGATAAAGGTGTTGCGTACGCGATGTGGAGTTCAGCTTTTTTTCATTTATTTACAGAAAAACTGACATTTGAATAACCTGAGTTTGTGTGACTTTTTTGCTTTGTTGACATAACTGAGTAGAGTTACATATTTTGTATTTAGAGTGCAGATGAACACCACTGGCCTCTGGTTTCAACTCCACCCTGGTTTCCTGCAGCATCTCTGGGTCAGTGTGAACAGAACTTAGCTGTGACAGGACAGTGGAGGGTTTCACCTCTAAGGTCTGGATCATCTCTTCAAACCAAATGCTTTACTTTTATTTTTCCTAAAGGCATATCAGCTCTCTGCGTGTCCAAGAGTGCTTCTAACACTGTGCACACCCTGCAGTGTTAACGGTTAGATATTCCAAAAAACATGTAATGTACTTTAAGTCGAGACATATATTGTTATTAACTGCCATTTTGGATCTCTTATTTTTGTCATGGATTCTGCAATTTAATCAGTTTATGTTAATATGGGAAGCTAAGACTTTTTTTTTGTAGATTCAGCAGCATCCATTTTGTAACAAAGTGCTACCGCTTGACTGTGCTCCTTTATTTCATTTAGTTTTATTTTATCAAAGAGCCGATGTCCTGTATTGACTGCAGGCTTACGTATATATTTGACAAAAAATATTGTATCTTTAATAATAAAAAGCAAAAAAGATGAAAAATGGAAGAAAATGCAGAAAAAAGAAAAGAAAACTGAAAAAAAACCCTGTAATTTATATTTTAAAACTGCATGCCCAAGGCTGAGAAAGTCATATTTAGAATAACAAATGGCAGTGCCTTTTTTGTACTCGAGACATTTACCCTAAATGTAAATGGTTTTATATAATATTACAGTACAGTATGAAACTAGCAGTAGTTGTCGGGTCACATTCACACTGCACATACAAGTGTCTGAATTCAGATAGTTTCCCCCTGTTCCTGTATGATCTGAAGATTTAAAAAGAATCTATTTACAGAAACACAACCATCAAACTCCGTTTCGTCTGTTCTTTTTTTCCTCCTTTAATCATAAATCTGACCTTTTACCCATGGCCATGTGACCACATTACTCATACTGTTTTTATGATCATGATGATGTGTGCATGAATTTGGATACAGCTTTAATAACAATTAGGGCAACAGTGCCCATCCATACAATGCTAATTTAGTTCTTGTCTGGGCTTATCAGCAACAAAAATAGGGCGGAAACTAGTTATTTTCTGTATTGATGTGCTGTTTATTTTCTTGGTTAACTGATTTATCGTTGTTTATAAAAGGTCATAAAACTGTTTTTGTCACTGTTCTTATCTTTATTGATTACACCTGAATCAGCATTTTTATCAGTGTTTGTTGCGTCCTTTCAGGAGGAGCACCGTAACTTTCTTTTCTGCCCCGTTCAAAGGAATGAGCTAATGTCATAAATACTAAATCATACTTTTTATCTTACACAAAGACAAATAATCCCAGTCAGTTTGATGCAATTAGGTACACAGATTTTGAATTAGGACAAAGGGAGCACTCATATGAGATGTGTACTGGCTGATATCCCCAGTGTAGTTACTGGGACAGAATGTCATTCAAACCTAACTTGTGTTTCCATTAAGCTGAGCAGTGCAGCACTGTGCACAATTCTGTCAGTTCAGTTCATCGTACAGTACGTGGTGATCATCAGATGTCTTAGAACTTAAAACCTGACAGCCAAGTTTAACTTGAGTGTATTTTGGGGGGTTAAACCTTCACAGTCACAAATTAAAGCAGCTTCATGTGTGATATGTGCTACTTTAAACATCTAAATGTAAACATTAAGACACAACTGTGAGTCTGAATTGAACACCGGGACGTGCACTGTGAATGTGACCTATGGTGTGACGGCACCAGTGTCGTTCCTGTACTCTGTAGGTACTTAATGCTGACATGAAGTAATGAATTATTCTGGTCTGTATAAAAAAAGATTAACTGTGTGTGAATGACTGTGTGAAAGTGAGGACGTGTGTGTGGAAATACATTCAAGTGTTTTTCAATGTGTCCTGCTATAACGTTGTCGCTGCGTACCAGAATGCTGTGACTTGGCATGCCCTGTTATACATTTAAAAAAAAACAAACTAACTCTTCCATTGTGTGTGTGTGTGTGTGTGTTCAGTCTGGACAGTAAAATCAAATGGGCCTTGAAAGTTCCCTTTTTATTTAATGAAAGGTTTGAATTAAATGTAGCACATGAATTCCAAAGGTGGAACAACTACTCACGTCCTGGACTTAAATAAAAGTAGCAGTACAACAGTGTAATAATACTGCATTCCAGATGTCACTTAAGTAAAAAATACTAATTAATTAGTATCAAAATGTAGTTAAAGTAAAGGTAAAACTTCTTATGCAGAATGGCATATTTCACATTACTATATATCATGCTGGATTTTTTGGATTCTAATTATTGCATACATCACAGTGCTGCAGCTGGTGAAGGTGGAGCTAGTTTTAACTACACTAAATGTGTATAATTTGAAGTACTTTACATACTGCTGGGTAGCTTGTGAATTTTTTGAGTATCAATAAAGTCTTATGATTATACTGTATTTTGTTTTATTAATCTGACTGTGAAAAGTAACTAAATGCAGTGGAGTAAAAAGTACAATATTTGCCTCTAAAACGTAGTAAAATCAAAGTATAAAGTAGTAGATACCTAAAAACTGAACTTGAGGAAATGTGCTTAGTTGCTATCCACCACTGCTAAATTCAGAGTATTACAAGAAACAAATACTGAAGTCTTACCTCTGAAATGAACCTGTTTATGTCTTGAATTTATAAAACAAGCCAACATCTTTCATCCACTTTGTAAGTGGGGGATGATTTTACATCTAAAATTAAATTTTCTCCTGGGGTTCCAGAGGAAGCTTTTCAAAGTTTTAAAAACTCAGCTGGCACTTAAAATATTTTTTTTAGCAGAGATCCTGCATTATACTGGGGCAATGAGAGCTCAACACACCACAGCCTAAGGAGGTGAGTCCCCACAGGGCTGGG